CACAGTCACCAGATCTCAATCCAATAGAGCATCTTTGGGATGTGGTGGAACGGGAGATTCGCATCATGGATGTGCAGCCGACAAATCTGCGGCAACTGTGTGATGCCATCATGTCAATATGGACCAAGCTCTCTGAGGAATGCTTCCAGCACCTTGTTGAATCTATGCCACGAAGAATTGAGGCAGTTCTGAAGGCAAAAGGGGGTCCAACCCGTTACTAGCATGGTGTACCTAATAAAGTGGCCGGTGAGTGTATATATATATATATATATATATATATATATATATATATATATATATATGATTATCAGGAAAGCTCTCTTACTTGCAAAATACTGAGCTTCATCTCAGCAGAAAACGGTTTATTTTCATTCGCAGACACTAAGGGATTAAGAGAAGTAATGTATCATTGTAACAATACAAGTCTAGAAACGTATTTAATGACTTAAGTGAGGAGTACAGTAACAAATACTGTTAGATGTTAATGACTGTATGAATTAAAGTCAGTGCTATCCCACCTCACTGACAATCTGTGTTTCACCTTAATGTTGGTATCTGCTCCTCAGTCTTCCCTGGATGTTATTTCAAGTCCCCAAAGGAGCTTTCCAGCACATATTATTCTGCTTGGATAAATTTGCACAAACCTGCCCATATGCACTGGCCTTGACCTGAGACACTCACGTAGATAGCAGCGTGTTTTTTCTTCCAAACATGTAATACATTGGTTTTTACTCCCTTATTTCCCCTAGAGTCCTGCTCCTCTGCAAGTATCCCTGCAGCCATGAAGGAGAAAGCCACAGCTGTTGAAAGAAGTGCAGATATTAGTCTTCATCAGACCAGAGAGCCAATGACACTTATGAAGACCTATGTCATTTAATATACATCACCAGCTTTATCGCTGAAAATAGGAGAGGAAGGCTGGAGTCGGCGCCTCAGGCAGCTCAAGGCTGGGCTAACGAGGAGGCAGGAGGAGGAATCAGCTCTGTTGTCCAAGGCCAACGCTGCAGCTGCATGAAAAGAAGAAAGATGTTATTTAAGAAGTGAAAAGCAATAATCTAAAAAAGGAGATTCACCCCTCTTCACTTTAATCAACCTTTAACGCACTGAATGTGAAATAGTTTGAGAAAGAAATGAGTCTTTTTGAGTCTGCATTGAAACATCACATTCCTCAGGATTTAGTGTCTCATTTTTCACAAAAGCATCTACAAATGAAATACCCTTAGAATAACTTAAAGCCACTGGGAATCAACCTTAAAATACAAAACAGATGTTCAAAGAGAGGCTCATTATCTTTTCAACATAACCTGAGAGGAAAACAAACTAAAATTATTAATGGAAAACTTTGATTTTAAAGAGGCAGTTTTTCTGATCTGAAGTCTTCTTAATCGAACGCTATTTTTAAGCATGCTATTTTTTCATCTCCCTGACCTTGCACGTAGCACTGGTGCAATGGGCCATCAGATTTTGAAGGCTTCAGCAGAGTGTTTGAGTCATATTGATGAGCATCAAAGGAAGAAGCTGTATCAAACTCAGAATACCAAACTGAACTTGGTTACTACATGCTGAGTTATAAAATGCCTTTCTTTCTGTAGCATAGTTAATACTTAGTTAAAGGTGGGGTAGGCAGGAATCCAGTAGAGAAGTATCTTCTTTGTGGTGTAAGTACAAAAAAGCTTTTAATATCCGTCAATAGCCATTAATTATTAAAGACATTTGGTAATATCACAATATCACTGTGTTCTCCTATGCCTGTGTAGTCAACATGTTACAATTTTTGAGCGGCCCACTCAGTCTGACTGGAAACAAAGCCCTTCTCCACCTCCCCGGCCTGATTGGTTGTGAGGCAGATGCTGCTCCTTCATGTTGTGAGGCACACTCCACGAATAACGTTCATGAGCCTAAACAAAAATCTCCAAATCGTACAGTAGAAACCAATCAGAAAGTATGAAAAATTGTCTGAATCCTCCTCTAGCCACGACTGCCAACACAAGCAAGAAATCGAAGTTAATGCCAGAAATTCTGGCGGGCCGCATTCGTAATTATATGAAGTGTTTATCTGCATTATTGGAGCTGAATTTAATTGGAATGATAAGAGCGAGCACGTGTGTCACATACTAGCATGAAGTGTAGTTTTTATTTAGTTACAGTGACAACAGTGATTAATTTAATATTTCATGTAATTTTGTTCATGTGTATGGTAGGTAGCCAAGCAGTAAGTGGGATCGTACTTGGGTGGGTGATCATTTACAGTATATGTTTGGGGTCCTGCTCACCATGTCAGAATTCTAATTTGCATAACTGCAGGTTCATCTTACACTCTCCCAAAATACTGTATTGGGGTTTCGGGATTTACAAAATAAAATTGACATTGGGTTTACCTCATGAGTATGATACATTATAAACAGAGATGATGAAGGGTTTTAAGAATATGTCCCTTAATCTGACTGTAGCTTGTGTAACTTCATCTGAGAGTCATCAAAATGGTGTGGACACATGGCCATAACACCCGAGCCTCAATCCCACAAGAAAAATGTCCTCATGCAAAGTGAGACAGCATTGATTTTTTTTTTTTTTTAGTACTGTGATTTACTTTAGGAGTTTATTGCAAAAACAATTTAACTGATTGATTGTACACAACTGTGGTTATCTGCCAGCAACTGTTTCTTCAATATTAAGCGGATAGACGTCAGTTGCATCTGGTGTAAAAAGCTGCCGTGTTGGGTTAGAGAATCAATAATATTAGATCACAACATAAACAAACCTGCTTTAAATCTAATCCTTGACCATCAAGGTTTTTTGTCCAACAGTCTGTTGTCTTTCTGTCTTTCTCTTTTTTTTTCTCTGTTTATGCCTGTCCATGCTCCACCTCCAACCTCCAACCTTGATATGTTTTTCACTCTTCAGCTCCTGTAGTGATTATTTGTTTGACACACATGAGTAAAAATGTCAGGATAATTCATAAAACTTTAAACACTCCTTTTGTATTTGAATTGACTACAATTACCTCTACTTTTCAGACACCATCGATAATGTATATAGGACTCTAAATTACACAGTTAATGGGTTCTTGTGGATTGGACTCCCTGTGGTTTCAAGTGTCTGAGTATGCTGTATTTTACACAATCAGACTCTTCTTAAGAAGCAAGAATATTTCTTTCTCCCCATTTTTGCTGCAGGCAAATTAAATAACATCTCCACTTTGTAATCAGCAACAAAGGAAAGAAAAAACATCTTCTCAGAGTCATTTCATTAATCAATTTAGGAGCGACAAGCAATTATTTCTCATAGTTAGAGTGCATGCCATCAATCCTGACTGTCCAATTAGCCTCTGCTCAGTTTCTGAATGCACATTTCACTTGACCTCCTCCGTGTGAGTGTTGTGAAGCTACTCGCTGAAACTTTTCATCAAGAAACTTTGAAACTGGCTTAATGGAGCAGCCAGGGAGGTCAAAGTTCACATTACATCTCATTATACAATAACGTGTTTGACTGCAGGGGTTGGCGGAGTGAAGAATAACGAAGCCCTGTGTGGTAATCAAACAACGTCTGATGAGCACAAATGTGTTTCTAACCCTGTGACATGCTCTTCATCAGGTCAAATGTGTTCTCTTACAGAAAATAACTCAAGCTAAGTTTTGCCTGAAGCCATTAAAAATTCAAGCATAAATTTTGATTTACATGAGTGTGAGATTATTACTGAGGGCACTGCTGCAACTGCAATGGCAGTATCTGTTATAGCAATTATTGATAGCTATATTAGTGATTTAATAGGCTGAGATAGTTTGGAGGATTGGTTGTGTAAACATCTGTGAGATTATGGAAGCAACTGTGAGGTCAGCCTGAACTTTCCCCAATTTGCCAAAAGTTGAATTGATCCTAATGATTGCCAGGAAAGTTAAGTTGAGTTTAAGTTTATATGGTTGTGAAATCACAGACTCAGCCTCTGTGGAGGATCCACAGCCTCTCAGTTTCTGACCTTGTTCTCCATTCGCTGATCTGAGTCTGCAAAATGCTATGACAATAAGGCATTGCTCTGATTGGCTGCAGACTCATGTTTTGTCTGATGCAGACAAAAACAAAGGTGGGGAAAGATCAAACTTGGCAAGTACTCCAGAAGAATTTTTGAATTGTTATGGTATCAAGTAAACACTCAGTGAAAACTTAACCCTCACATACTGTTCGGGTCAAATTTGACCCGTTTTGACTTTTAACAGCAGTAAAAATACCCTAAACATCATTTTTTAAGCCTGAAACTTGATGACTTTTCCTGAAGTCGCCCAAAATACATGAAATTTATTTAAAAATATTCATGTGTATTTTTGTTTATGTGCTACGAATTTTTTCCCCTCCAAGGCTGTTACGGGTCAAATTTGACCCATATCTATATTTAGATGGATTTTAGATCTAGCAGTGTGGGACAAGTGACAAACAGTAACAACAGTGTTCAATTTAAGGTTTGTTGTTCAAAAAGATATATTCAAATCATTATGAAACTATCATTACCTTGACAGAAACACACACACACACGCACGCACACAGACATACAGTCACACAGACTCACTTAGACAGAGGTCAAAATGACCTAACTAGTCAAGAGAACTTTCTGTGACAGAAAGCTGCTCTTTGAACTCTTTGAAGGGGCAATTTTGACCCGGAACATACTGTGAGGGTACAGGATTTGAACAGTATGTGAGGGGTAATTAATGAACAGATGTGAGGAAGACCTCTCACTCGAATTGATTGATGGAAAAGTAGCACGGTAAATCAATATGTTTAGTGTCTTTCTGTCATATAATAAAGCTGTGTTGATGAGCGCCCCTGCAGACTTGGTGCACTTACAATAAAATGTCTTATTTATCTTCCTTTACAGCTGCCTTTGTCATTGTCTTTTTTTACTTTGCATAATTTGTGTATGTGCAGCCCTTTTGTTGTCTACAGGTGTTTTTTGCTATTTGCAGCATGCATCCATAGTTGCATTTATTGCAATTTAATGCATGAATTTGAAGTTTTGTTGTGTCTGCATTTGCAGTTCATTCCTCTGAATGAGGGCAATTTAGGCCTTTGCAGATCATCTGCCCTTGTTGGTCAGAAGTTAACTGAGTTATACAACTCTCCAAATAAGTTGGATTTCCATCTATCATCTCTACAAATCTTCAGCTTTTGCTCCATACTATTTACCAGGGGCTAGTATGCAGCAAAATTCATTCCAACCACATGCCCCCATGAAAAATTAGGATTTCATAACAGGGTCTAAACACCTCAGACTCCCTTCCATCTTATTGTTTCAAGGTACACTGTGTCAAAACTTTTGACTTCATTACTTTTTTCAAATAAAGCTTTCCTAATTGGAATTCTACGTATAAATGTCAATGAGGAAAATGCAGCCATCATTTATGAGAGCACTTCATAAGAACGCCACCATAAACATGTATGAGTCATTGTGCATTAGCTTTTAGGTTAGAGAAATAGTAATGGGGCGACAAAAGCTTAAAAAAAGGGTTTAGGAAATTAACAAGAGGCTTTCGCCAGCAGTTTAACCAAATCTTAATTGAATTTTATCTTTTCCCTCCTGGCAGAACAATCTGACTGTGTGACCGAAGCAAAGCTGCAGTTGGTTTTAATCACAGCTTTGTGTGCAGGCTGGCAAGTTGAACTAATCAAACTATTTGCACAGCCTGATTCACTGCCAGGAGACTGAGACTCAACCGGTCACCAGAGTTATGTGATTAGTCTCAGATTGCATAATTTGTTCACACTGGGCATGCTAGCCTGACAGCCATGAACACACACCTTTAGCAGTGTTGAGTCTGTCTAAAGTAAAGAGTATACCAAATGTGAATGTTTGGACTGGAGATACAGCCAAGTGTAATCTCAGCTGCTGCAGAGGAACTTCTCAGTGGAGTGGAGGTAGCACATTTGAAACTACAAATCTGGATGTACTTGTATTTAATAAAATACACTCTGTACACAAACAACTGACAGCCACCAGGTGTAACTCACTAAATGTGAACCCACATATGAGACCTCTGGACGTACTTGTATTTGATGATCACCATCTTTCTTTTTGAGAGCAAATGTGATCAGATCAAATAATGTGAAATCACATTACAAGATAATCACATTTAGCCATGCCCAAAAGCATTACCTGTTTAATGTCTTTTTTTAATTCTGTATTAACGTTAAAGATAAATACATATTATGCTGGATTAACGAAAACCCAATCGAGAAATTATGCCATATACAAACTATAATGATCTTTGCTGGGGTATTTATTGACAAGTTCATGGACTGGAAAACAAGCTGATTGCTTGCTTTGCCTCATATCTATGAACAAGAGGTTTTGCCTGTTTTTTCAACACCACCCTTGGGTGCATTTTATTGATGAATAGAGGTTGATAACAAAAACAAAGAGACTAGAGATGTGCACATTAAGTGGATGAAAAACTTCATGTCATTACCTTCGCTAGTCATTTAAACAAATTATTAATATTTGCAGGCATGAAATGTACAGCCTTCAGCCAGTAGTGATGGTCAGATAAAGCCGTATAAACTAAGAGTTTCCTTTCAATTTGTGAGGAAAAGATTCAAAGCTTTGAAGCTTCAGACTGAGCGAACACTGTGATATCTGGTGGCTTGTAAACTAATGACAGCCCTCTAAATGGTGGTCTGAGGCACCGGTACACCTCTTTTCACAGTTTCACCCTTTGTGAGAAATAATAGTCTGTGACGCCTTTGTGTGGGTTCAATACTATTCATATATCCGTCTATGTATAAGTCTGTCTACTGTTCAAACTTTTTAGTATTATACAGGCATAGTCATACGTTGATAGCAGCAACTTTCGTGTGAGTTTACTGCAAATGAATAATTGTCTATGCATTATCAAAAAGAAATAGTATTACTTGTATTTTCGCATGTAAAACATAAGTACACACAATTGGTAGTTGAGCTGACTTTCTTTCTACCTTTAACCACAGTTTAAATACAAGACCATCTCGTGGACTAATGAGTCTTTGAAACGCTGGTGACATTTGAGGCTTCTGATATGATCTTTCATCTCTGACACAAGCTTCGACATGTCAAAGTGAAGCTGTGTGGTTCACTCCAGTAATACAAGCTTCAGAGCTCAGGATCATATGCCTATCTCTATCTCCTAGCTACTCATGGGGGCTTTTAAATACCCGTTTGACTACTCCTATAATACTATAGACCAATTCTGCACAACTGGCAACAGAAGTATGGCAAAGTACAATAGTTTGTCAAGCTACATGGGGGGCATGGCCGCCAACTGATTAGACATTGTTTGCCAATAGACTCTTTAATCTTGTGTTGCGCCCCGTTCAATGTTTTGCTCACTGCTCTTTCTCTATTTATTTTCAAGTTTCAACAAGTCAGTGGGTGGGGGTTTTATTACCTATTTGAAGTACCAGTATATGAGTAGCAAAGAACACTTACTAAGGAATTTATTAAAAGTCTGCTCAGTCTGCATTGCTACAGGCTTCACTTCCTTTTTCTTGCATTTGCAGCACCAGTCTGTAACAACCTAAACACAGCGCCGCAGAGGATGCCGACCTTCTATCCTCAAACTGCTCAGATCATGGGTTTTTGAAAAATGTGATGAGTTTGAATAAGCAGCTCTGCTCCCCTGTGGCAGGTCCATCCAGCCTTTACAAGGTTTTACAATTTAGCAGGCTGGACTGGAAATCCTGTTAGTGTAACTCGGGACCTCCAGCTCCTTATCTGTCTTAATCAGAGGATACAAGAACAGACAGCAACAAGCAAGTGTGAGATCCGCTCTCTCTGATCATTACATCAGCCACACAGCCTACGAGCTGAATATTCATCAAATATCTGTATAACCATGCATGATATGGACTGAGAAACACTTTTCTTGGATGTAAAATAGCTGTACACTAAATCTACCAACAGCTTGCTCTCTTCTTGTGTACAGTTTTGCTTGGATGTCAAAGCACTTTGTAAACCCATGTTTTCAAAGGTGCAATAAAAATGTGTAAATAAAGCCTGGTGTCATGTACTCACCCACAGCAGTTCAGATAAGACTGGGACAAAGCACTCCATTGTGCTGAATGAAAAAATTAAGCTTGTGCGGATGCTACTGTCCTGAATCATCGATACAACAGCTAAGTTAGGGTGACCATATTCTGAATCCCCAAAAAGAGGACACTACTACGCGGGGCGCAGTCATGCGTAATTAATTTTGGGAGTTTTTTCGGTCGGGTTGAGTGTTTTTCTTTGTGCTTCTAACTCAGTAAGTCCACGCGACACAAACTCAAAACTTCCACACAAAAACCACGGACATTCAAGGGGTTATAAAAACAGATAGTTCCCACAAAAGAGGACATGTCCGAGTAAAAGAGGATGTATGGTTACCCTAAGCTAAGCTACGAAGATATGTAGGCCTACTGGATTAAACTGACACTGAAAACTACCAAACTACTGAAAAATGTTGTTAAAAATATCACACTGTTAAACCCTTAACCGCACACCCCCATATACAAGCTCATTGTATAACTGGATTTTTAATCAGTACACCTAGCATCGCAACTGAACATGCTACCCCAAATGAAAAAATTGTGTTTCCCATGATCAACCAAAAAAAAAATAATAATAAAATAAGTAATAAGTAACACTGATAACATAAAATACAAGGATATCATTGGTGCCCTCTCAAGCAGCCTCCTTCTGTTGGTAGTCACCAGTGTTTGCGTCACTGAAGTTGGCCACAACCATGCAAATTCCATCCAGCACCCACTGTGTTTGCTCATGATTTTATGGTTTTATGTGTCTGAATTCGACTATGGGCAACTGAAAATGGACACTTTCTACATGTGCAAAATGCAGCATATGTGTTGGCAGGTACAGCTTTAACTCTTCTGGAGTTCTTTGGAAAACACAGATTACTTTTCAGGTATGACAGCTAGCTGGTCTGACCTTATTCAGCAGGTCTCAGTCATTTGACAAGCTGGGCTGGCTAAGCAACAGCTGAGCACTGAGAATGACTGACAAATGTAGGGACAAGTCAGCACTAACTTTGATGTGCAGTGCATTGGAGATGTTTCCCTGTTTATTTGGACAGCAATAGCCTTAGCAACTGCAATGGCCTTAGCAACAACACTGACTGGTACACTATATATATTTGTCTACTACAGAGGATCTGTGTGGCAAAAATGGCGCATGGTGTTGGTATTAAACAGTTTGAAGCTCCAAATAGATCAAATTCATACTTTTGCCTTTTTGTGATATCCCAAAGAAAACAAAACCATCAGTGTCAAGAATGACAATGAATCCTGTAAATCCGAATGTTTGTCAAAGGGAGCAGATTCAGAAATAGCTGTTGTTTTCAATTTCTACACAAAATATAAACAATAGATTACACATTTGACCATAAAAGGAGGTAGGATGAGATTTTTCAGAGATACTATTCAGCATGAAGAGGACAAAATAAGTAAAGACTCCTTTGATGCAAATTTAGCATTGATGTTGCAAATTGATGCATTGTTCTTGGTTAGCTTAAAGCTCCTTTTTCTCTGCGGCCTCTTGGCAAGACTCAATTAAAACATCGTGTAAATGTAACCCAAACTGAAACACACTTCTTTCTGCTGTCAATCCCTGGTATAGTAAACAATGGATTTTTCGTCTGTTTAATCCCACAGATAGCCTCATCCTGCAGTGATTGTTGATGGGCGTGGGTGTTCAGTGACACAGAGATTGTCTATTTTGAGTGCTTTCAATGATCTATTTTTGTTGGAGGGTGTTGGGCTTCAAAGGAGGAAGTTTAGTTCTGTAATAATGAGGAAGGAGGTAATGCTCTAGCCGTGCATTTAAAGATTTCAGTGCAAGTTAAAGCATGTTAGAAAATGCGCATGTTTTTGCTAACTGCTTAATATGGTATGGGAGGAAAAACAGTTTGTGTCTCAGCTGTCATGTGAATAGATTTCAGATGACTAGGACTTAAAGTGATGTTCCGGCGTAAAATTATGTTATGGTTAAATACACCGTAACACCGAGTTAGACACCCCCTCGATTGATGAATGTTGCCGACCGCTCGCTTCTCTCGTTATACCAACTTTAGTATTGACCGTATGATAGCAATACACAGCGGTCTACGGCTCCACATGCAAACCTCAACCAAAAAGCCACTCTATAGCCACAAATAATGCTCAGAACAGCACCTAACTTCATCAACAGTACATATAGGGTCCAAGCCACAGCACTAGCCATCATACATCTCTCCTCTAGCAGCCACTTGTTTGTGGAGCCCTGACGAGTTGATCACCGAGTGAGGTGGAAGTAATAATCATCATAATAGTCATTTTGCACTGCAGACACGGTAGTTCGTCTGCCTTAGCGTCTCAGTCTGATTGCATTTCCATGAAGTAATAATCATAAATGTTCTTCCTTGAGCTGCGAAACTCCACTTCACTCGGTGATTGACTCGTCAGGGCTCCCCCTACAAACAAACGGCTGCCGGAAGAGAGTAGGTGAGTTGTGTTTAGTCTCTTAGACCGCTGCCAAAATGAGCTGTTTTTTTTTTTTTAACAAGATTTTAAACAGTTACAAGATTTTAAGTTAATTTTCTTCAGGATTTTTGGGGACTTCAGAATCATTTTTACCCTCTTACTGTTTCAAACTAAACTTCCAAAGACTTTTACTCACTTTTCCCTGTTTTTATCACATGATAATGGCCAATACGGCACTATTTTAGAACAGGCTTTGAGATAATTCAATATATTCAATATTCAATATATATACAATAAAAATATATTTATCTATATGTCATGTTTTCATACAATCAGCCCCTCTTCTTTATCGTTCAGCTGGTTTGACTTCTCTGTGTGAGGCGTGCTTTGATTCCTTGAAATGTCAGGGAAATCAGCTGTTATCTTGTTAGTGAGTTGTTCCTAATGCTCTATCTTTAGTCACTCTCTTATGATCCTGCTTAGTGATTCTTCCACAGCGACACCACCTCCGATGACTCACTGAGCAACAGACACCAGAGATTATTAATGTTTTTACAGAAATAGTTACACAGATATAACAGCAGAAGAAGCGGTTACCCATGGTTACAGCCATGACGTCACCTGGTATCATTGATCTCTTTTACACTTCCTCCTGTCCTTAATTAATGTAAGACGACAACCTGTGGTGTCAGGATGTTTCTCTGCTAAAGCTGCTTTCATTTATAAAACCGACCAACGCACTTTTTTTTTTTTCTTTTCTGCCACCCGGCTTTAGAAATACAAGTCAATATATTTTCTCCAGAGGGAGATGTGCCTGACTGGTGTCCCGGCTCATTTGAGAAAAGTTACATCATCAGAACGGTTCAGCCCTTGAACTCTCTTTGGTAATCTTTGATAATAAGCAAGGGGAGAAAAGAAATAGAAAGTTTGCAGAGGAGGGAAGCGTGGCTGTAATGAACCGGCTTCCTGCAGGGTAATAAAGGTCTGCGTCTAATGCCAAGGGCAGCCAGGCAAGCACGAAGACCATTACAGCTGAGCGGGCGGGCTTATAGCTCTGTCTGGGAGGCCAAAAACAGCTCAGAGGAGGCCCCCACGCCCCCTCCTGCTTTTGACTGCAGACACAATTATCTTGTGAGGTTATAGCCAATATTTCCTCCTGGTGCCAAAGGTGAAGACACGTAAGAGTTGTGTTTTTTTCCTTTTTTTTTTTCTTTCCCAAAAAAGAACAGACGGTGAGTCCACTCCCTGGAGCATTTCTTCAGGACAGCAGGATGGAGGAGGAGGGAGGCAGAACAGGGCAGACAGACGGAGTACTTATGCTGGAAGCTCTGTGCAATGTTAAATAAAAGCAGTGAAAAAGGCGAAAGTGTCCAGTTCAACTTTAAAATAGCAGCTCCCGGGACATTGTCACACTGCTATCTAAATGCACAATTTTCACCCCACCCCATAGTAGCTAATGATGAATCTGTTACAGTACATACTGCAATTTGAACTGGTTGCGGTTAGACAAAATAAATCATGGAGGCCAGTTATTCGATAAGCTGATTACAAATAGAAAAAGCAGCCTCACTTCTAATTGCTGATTATTATTTTTTTTCTCTCTGTAGTTGTTGGAGGGGAAAGAGATGCAATGAAAAGTCATGCTGAGATCTTTCAGCGCATAGCGAAATCATTTGCACAAAATGAGATGCAGAAAGTTATTTGAAATGGCACTGAGGCTTGAAGAGGAAAATTGCAGACCATGATTTGTTAAGAAGTTCCATTAACTCTGCATTTAATTTGCTTGGACTTTGACAGCGTACATTAACTGTAGTGTATCTCACACTGTTGGAAAGTGAGTCTAAAGAGGTTGACTTTTATGTGTGGAAAAGCTCCAAATGTCAGTCCAGCGAACATCACAAACAACTCCCATGTGGCTCAAGGTCAAACCTACAAGAACACATTATGTAAGGATGAGAAATCGTACATGTCAAGGGGGGTCACAGAGAGAGATGGTGATGTAAAACCTGCAGAATCCTAACCTAACTCTGCAAGCAGCTTTACAATATGCATAAATAACCTCACTGCTAAATAAACACAGGAGGATGCACTTATTCTCCTCTCTCCTCCTCAAACTGTGAACTGACTGTAAACCTGATACTATCTCACATCCATCACCATTACGTGACTATTTACTATGGTACTTTGGACTACTTTACAACATCTGCACAGACCTGCACACTCTGCCATTTTACCGCCTCTCCAATATTGTTTTGTGTTCATCCATTCTTATTTTTATAGTGAAGCTTTACTTTGGGGCAAAGCACCTCAGAGTGTATCTAAAGTATGCAAACTCAGGACACTTCTGCAGATGCAATACAAAATATGTCAAATTGAGTTAATTTAAGTGGGGAACCAGAGAGGTCTGGTCTTGTATGCTTTGCAGGCTTGCATGGATTGATTGCAAAATGTATAATTTCAATTTCACATCACTTTTTTTCCCTGATGTCCATTCTTTTACTATTTACCAGGGATGCACTGATCCGATATTTGGATCCGATATTTGGATCAGATATTGGCTCTATTGACAATTTAACTGGATCGGATATTTGATGAATGACGCCCATCCAGCGTTCCAATCCAACCTTTTTTTTTCTTTTAATTAATGTCACACACAGCAACACAGCGATTCTGTTTGCTCCAATTCAACATCTGCTGCACTGGTTACGTTATTCTACGATTATTCTTTTGCACTAAAAGTTTACATGGATGTCTTATTTCTGTTTGCTGTGTGCTAATGTGCAATTTGGTATTTGCAGGGCTAGACACTAACATTTTTCACAAGGAGCACATGTGCTCCTAAGTCACAAAAGTTAGGGGCACAATGAAAAGTGATCAAATAATGTGTGTCTCATCGGTCAACATAAGTATTATTATTTGAAATCAAATTTAGGTCAGTTGGTCACATGACATGGAAGCTATTGAAGGAAAGGTTCAAAATTAGCCTTTAAATTTAAAACAAAAAAATTTTTAGAGGACAAATTAGGGAAATAAAGAGGTGTGTCTCATTGTCCGACATTAGTACTATTAATTAAAATCAATTTTAAGTCAATTGGTCTCATGACATGGAAGCTATTGAAGGGAAACAGCATTTTTTGAGTACATTTATTGATAGTCCCTTATTCAACACCCAACGTTGACAGCGAGGGTGCCGAGTAGATTTAACCACGCTGCTGTTGCTATTGCTGGTTGTGGAGAGTGAGAAGACACCAGTAGATCTGCAGTGAATGTCCGTCAGATATCCAACCAAAAACTAACTTCACTGCAGTGTGGATTTAACCATGCTGCTGTTGCTATTAGTCACAAATGCGAGTGAAACGGTTGCACTAAGCCCTGATTTGTTAATAAAAAATTAAAACGTCAGAATTCCTTCTTTATAAAGCAGAAAGTAGGCAAGATCATTCTGAGCTGATGCTAAAGGAGACTTAATCCTGCAATGCTTTGAATGCATTATTTAAAAGATTTGTGTTTCTGCTCAAAATGCAGGAGCAATCTCATACGCTCCAAAGAAAGCAAAGACTTATTTAGATTTCGTCATTTTCTATCTGGCTGCTGGTCAGAAAAAGGGAAATGATTCCCAATTTTTTATCAAACATGACACAATGAGGACACTACTTTTATTTTTTATTCTATTTATTGATACTAAGACTCTTTTACAAAAGAATTCCTTAAGTCTTGTTGACATTCACCAGACAGCAGACTCACTGAACCCTTTTGGTCTGAATACACACTTTTAACTTCAGGGTGCAGGTAAAGATAGCCCAGGATCTGGACTAAAAGAGGCATCACATCCTTTGTCCCATGCAGAACAAACTCTGATACACACTCTGGACTCTGTAATGCTCTTTAATGCTGCATCTCACTGAACTTCACACTCAACGTTCCTCTGCAATGCTTTTAGGATGCTCCTTTTGAAACACTTTGTTTACTGTTTATTGTTTTATGGCTGTTAATATCTTTGTCTTTTATGTGTTTTTGTACGCCAGGTGAAAATCAAATTCCATCTGGGAACAATAAAGGTTTCATCATGATATACCAAGGATTTCTCAGGAGTGTGTCCAGATTTTATTGGCAGGGGTGGCTTGTCTGGGGCACTGACATATGCAGGGGTGGTGCGATGTGTCTGCATCGACACACACAACGGGAAAGCATTTATTAAACCTTTTGCCTCCTTTATTCATATCTCCTAAGGCTAACACCATATCAGATTTTTGCTCATGATTATTGTGGCCAAAATACATCACAATAACAACATTATGACGATATTCATGGAAAACTTGAAATTTAATACAACAGTTAAAATAAGAAAAGGCAAGAAAAGGAAGGAACAACATGATGTATTGTTTATTAATACCAAAGTTGATTATATGTACAAATAAACAGATAACTTCCATGCCATCAACCATATCTAATTATGTTCAAATTTATGATTTATCCACATCACTGGTTGTTTAACTAAAACCTATTTTACATTACCTCATAGAAACATATTTTGGCATGCTTTTACTTTGTAATTTGTTCCTACATTTTAAATCTATTATTTTTTATTTTCGTAGCTTTTATTTTGAAGAGTAAGCTAACTTCTGTAAGAGACTTATGAAACTGAATGAAAACAGAAGAAAGGTCAGAAAGTACAGAAGTTTGATTGATTAGTAACTTTAAGAGGCATAAGCTCCAAAAATCATGAAATAACTGTTTTTAAAAGTGATGTCATCTCTCAGAGAGATGCTTCAAGCCAGTTTCAAGACGATCTGTTGCTGCTCTGTCTCTCCCTTGTTTTATGACATGTAGCAACCATCAAGGATTACTTTTATGAACTCACAGCATTACTGTTTGCGAATTTTATTATGATATCCATATTCAATTAATTAATAAAGACTGTTACTGATAAGAGCGCTGATATCTACTCGAAAGACTGAAATGAAGGAGTAGGGTTGCAAAATAAATTCCATGGGAATTAACGGGAATTAAAGGGAATAAATCTGAAATTTACAAAATTGAAGGTTGGCCCTCAACAGGGAACTTAAATAAAGGTGGGAGAAGTAACATAATCTTGGCTAAAACAACCAGATTTAATGCAAGTACACTCCTCAATCACATGCACATAGCACACTGCTGAATGCAAGGCTCTTGAGGCCGCACACCCCACATGCACTGTGCATTCCTCTATCTCACACACAGATGATTTCTTGAACTCTGGAGGCCACACTTTTAAGCCCAAAGCACAAGACATTTGAGCCGACGGACTATATAAAGTCAAGTTAGTTAACTTGCAAAAATTAAATAAAAATAGGTGCTAAATGTAAGCTATTTTTCATTTTATTGACCATTCAAGGGGCTAGCTTATTATGGTGGTGGTAGCTGACTCAAATGTGATGCTGTTTTTTTTTTAAATCCTGCAAAACAGTTTTCTTTTTTCCAGTTAATTCCCATAAATTCCCATAATTACCATGGAAAGTTTCCACTTCCGAATATTTCCAAAATTCCCCAGCTTAACTTCCCATGGAAATTTTTCCAGAAATATACAGGAAATGTTCCATCCCTTTGCAACCCTTTGAAGGAGTCATAATATACAAGTCCTGAAAAGTTTAGTCAATCATCTTGTGCACAGAAGAAAATGATCTCATCTTCAACACAAAAGGAACAACTTTGGGAAATATCCAATAATCAAGGACTTTGGGTGGTACCAGGGGTGGTCCATCAAATTCTTCAAGTGGCCCATGCAGAACTTAAGACATGCTCCTGGAATTGCCTTAAGGCCTACATACTGTGTGTACCTCCAAGTGGAAGCTTGTGTTACACCATACAATTCAAATAAAAAAAAGAAGTCAACACAAACACAACAGAAGTAACAATACTTAGACAAATCAGGCGAAAGGATGAAACTGTGAGACCCCTTTTGACTTGAGCAGTGCCACCACTTACCAACTGGTTTACGGTAAATGTTTCAGACCCATTACTTGCTACTTTTGCATCTTGGTTTTCTCAGACAAGAAGGCTGACAGGTACGGGCTCAGGTGCATTTGTTTGAGACCTAGAGTAGGCCTGATTTGACCTTTTGTATACACTAATGCACATCACCCTGACATTTTCCAGACATTTTTAGGAGAGGGATGCATGTGTGAATGTAACTTCTATCATGAGACTTGAAGTTTATGTCTGCTGATGATAAATCTTTCCTGTTAAAGTCAATATCAATTGAGGTCTGGCTACTTCTTTCCTCTTCTAAAGTAGCCTCATGTCACTGGCGTACTCAGTAAGTGTGCTCTTTGATTCACTGTAATTTAATTAGTGTCTCGAGAACATGAGATTCTTTCCAACAGTTATAACATCAAAGCTGGTGTACAATTAGGCTCCCCTCCAAATATCATCTATTTATCTCTAACTGTGCCAGCACCAGCAGTCAATGTTTCGTGGTTTGGATCCGTTTTTGTGAGGCAGTGAGTAAGATGTGAGAGGGAGATTTTTGAATTCAGCTGTTAGATGTTTATTTTTAATCATGGGTCAAAGAGGGTGAGGTGCTCAGAGATGCTATGGCGTGTCTGTAAAATCTTGTGTCTCACAAGGATACAGACATTTGCTTGATTGAACTGAAATTAACAAACAATAACTGAAGGCTTCCATGAGTGCAAATAGACAGAGTCATGAGACAGATGTAGGGGGACGTAGGAAGGTTGTGCATTTACCCGGAATAACACGATCAAAAAATGGCCATTGAGTAGTGTGTCTTAACAAAGCCCGGTGGCCTTTCAAGACACATCCATCAATAATGTAGTACATTCAACAACTGACAAAACTGTACATCCTTGTCAGAACAAGACAAGAGGCTAACAAGATTTTACAGCTATGCTAGCAGCTCTGTCAGGTTTGACTTTAGCACAGCAGTGCTTCTGGCAACCTGCGAAAGTCTGCACGCTGACATGCTAACATAATGGCAACCTGCTGATATCCAGCAGGTTTTAATTTATCACGGACGCAATCTTGATATAACACGTTGTGGTGTTCATTTTTTCCAAGTAGCTCTTAAAACTGAGAACAGGTGAGTTGTTTTAACACATTATATGGCACATTTCTATTTATGGGTTCACAATGTGCCGAGTCTATCTGTCAAAGCCTCTTATGAACACTCAATTGTACTACTATAATTTCCCCCGTTACAACCAACAGTTTCTCATTTTCAAATGCTACAAGAATTCTTTCTTTTCCCTTATTTTTTTCTTTCTTTCTCTTTTTGTTTCCTTTGTTTTTAAACATTTTTTTGATTTGTTGTCTACACCTGGTCCCCATACACAGAAGTTAAGTGGTTGGGCCAAGTTTGCTTCTGGCCTGTGGCTTCTTCTCCCTACTCTACTCTCACCATATGCTGACTCGACTGAAGAGACTCGGATTCAAACTGTGAAATTAGCCTTTTTAAATGGGTGTGTATGTAGCCTCTGGAGTTTAGAACTAGTCCTAAGTGGACATGTCTCAAAAGCTGAGGTTGCTGCTTACCTGCCCAGCAGCCTGCGTGGCACTGACCCCAACTCCACCCATGTCTGTTTCTTTTAAGAGTTGATGAATGCCATCTTGAGGCTTTATCATCCCCCCTAAGAATTCAATGGTTGATCTCTCCGAGACTGCCTACATGCTTTACATATATAGATGTGCACAAGTACTTTTAAAAATTAGAGTTATCTAATGTTTTAACATGATATCAACCTCTCTGCTAACTCAACTATTGCTATTTCACCCAGGAATCAAGCCCTAAACCCCTGGACTAAAGTCTTGTGTATATTTGATTGTTAGGCCTCTAACCAAGCTGCTGTATTTAATCTCTTCCTAATGGTTTCCCAACGACGATGATAGAGGACAAATTCCACAGTACTCATTTTGTTAGGAATAAAAAAGTCGATTTGCAAGGTTGAGTGATTTCCATTAAGTCCTTAATGCATATTTTTTTTTACATAATTTCTTATATCATATCTGTAAAAAACAGTTTCCAGTAAAGGAGAGGTGTCTCTGATCACTGCTTTCTTTCTGTTATAATCTCCCTGTGGCATTAAGACTCTGACTGGCAGCTGACTGTAACCTGCAGATGGTGTCCACCAGTGAGCATACTTCATATGCAAGATATCATCACTGCTGAGTCAGACTGGCACTGCATTAAACAGATTATGTTAATACAGTGTGTTGAATTAAACACTATTTATGACTCATCAGAGACCCATTCAAATATCCAGAGCCAACAGATTTAATAAAACCGGTCTGATTCATTTGTGCCCCGTGAGAAAACTCATGCCGCTAGTTTGTCTGCAGACTCCGTGAGTGGGTGACATGATGTACATTAAAGCATACTGATGAGGAGATACAGCTCTCATTAGCCTGCCTGTCAGACAGACACTATACGCTAGACTAGGAACAGCTTTGTTGGGATGCACGGTATGGTTTATAGGTTGTGTTTAACACACTGGTCAGGAGTTCAGACGCAATAAGAAGACAGGGTAAAGGCCCAGAGAGAGAAACAGAGCTGAGAAGGGGGGCTATGCAGGTGGACCTTGGTACAACTTCTGGAGGGTCTAAACCTGAGAGGGATGTTCATTAATCTTCATGCTGGAGCAAGGTGGGGGATGGAGTCTCAAGAAGCAACTGGCAAAATTTTTTTAAAGGTCTCCTATTACGGCATTTTTCATCAAGTTTAAATCGGTCACAGAGGTCCCACAATAATAAATTTGAAGTCTGTTGTCCAAAACACCAGTTTATTTGTGGATATCAGCCAGTCTGTATCCCCCTTTTTTTGAGCTCTACTGAGAACGGGCTGATTCTGCGTCTGTACCTTTAAATGATAATGAGCTGTGTGTAACCACGCCCCTCTCTGGAAGGGGCTGTGGCTTTCGCTCTGATACCATGCGCTAATGTTTACAGCCTCCACAGTGTGAGGGCTTGTAGAAGCACTGGGGTTCAGCCCTAGATGGGTTAGCTCCTCCAACGCCTATGTCCGTTTCTGAATGGTTGGCTATAAATACATGTCTTTATATGTCTTTTTACTTTGTTAAGAGCGTTTTGTTATATTTCTAGGTGGGTTAGCTTATCTGACGGCTAAGTCTCTGCTGTCTTGTCGTTACTTGGAGCTCTTTTGGAGAATACCCAATATTTTGAAAAGTGGAATGTTATAGTTATCTCTCGTGACTTGGCGTCCGTCCATCCGTTATGTCCCCTGCTTCGTGCAAAAGACAGACGAACGATAGGAAAGGGTGGGCGAAATGCTCTATCCATCTCCATTTCCGTCTTCTGGGAGGGAGCTTATGTCATCATAACCACAAAGCTTTTCCATTCACCTGTTTGCGCTCATGTTTTCAGAAAAGAGGGGAAAGCAAGAGAGGGAGAGAATGAAATTTTTTCATGTTGGGTGGGTTGCCGGCTTTGAGGGGATGCATATTATTGGTGGAAAACCACTCAAAAATAGATTTTTCACAATAGGAGACTTTTAAAACATCATTCACTGTAAAAATTGGTTCAAATACTGTATGTTTTGCAGTCTGTCATTGAGCCTGTTCAGCAAAGTCAGGGGTGCTAGTTTTACAGTTAAGACTTAACTGGAACCTACAAGTCCACTTTGAGCATTTCAAACCGTAAAAATGAATATTTCTACCTTTGTGGGTCTTGGACTGTTGTGAACACGCTCTTCAGAATCTCTTCTTTCACATCTTTGCCATCCTCTGAAGACTTCTTGTGTTTATCCAGAAAGTGACTGACGTGATAAGATGCTATCCTTCCATCCATGGAGTTAGATCAGGGGAAAACTGACTCCTGTGCTGCTGACTCACCCCTCAACTCTTGTACTTTGAGTTTGTGGAGTTGTTTCAGTATGGACACTCTAACATATCTTCCCAAACTGACCTCCTTTTGTACAGCCCCACCTGTTCTCTATTCAAGAAAGACACATTTCAGGCTGACAAAAAACTAAACAAAACGCTTCCACTTGAAAACACCTCTTGGTTGCCACGTTTAGGTAGCTTACCAGTTCTTTGACAGATATCAATTTCCACTCTTGCTGATGCTCTGACATGTTCCTGCTGTGTTGCTGGCAGTGTGCCCAGAGTGTTGTCCAAGCACAACAAGAGGCGAGTAGAAAAACTGTGATATGTTTAATACAGTCAGTTTGTCTGTGATGCATTCAAGTGTAACTGACAGGACATGACTGTGCAAAAACAGGGAAATAAAAATAGTATGAGTGGGAATCAGCACACGATTCAAGTTCATTTCAGACCACACTGTAATGAACACTGACTTGACTTTACAGTAGCTGGTGGGTGTGGCTTTTGCACTCCCACCATCCTGAAGCAGAAATGAGTACTCATTTTTTTTTATTTTGACCAAGAATTTGATATACTTGGCAACTGGTTTAACCCTGGCTGTGTGGTCAGTGACACTTTTTATTTTATTTTATTTTATTTTTTGTGGTGTGGAAACATCCAAACACACATTTCTCTCCAGTTTACACAAACTTAAAAAAAACTCAATCCTCTGTTGTCTGTGTGACCCAGTCATGCAAACATGGTCTTAAAAATTGAGACTTGAGAAATGGTGAATTTATTGTGAGAAACAATCCAAACAGAGTGCACTTCCTCCCCTTCTTGTCTTCTTTTGGCACGACTGATTGTATTCCTCCTCTTAATGATCCTGCATGTTTTTGATTAAAACAATAACACAGAATTTCTATTTTATTCACCTTTCATCTGGAAGCATCTCTAACTTTGGTCTCCACTCATCTTATACACTATGCTTAATCAAGAGTGTCCAAAAAGTAATTTACTGTTTGGGTATAGAAAATTAAATTTTTCTGAGGATAGGTTTCTTTTTTTTTCACGCTAGTTTTAAATGATAATCTAATTCTTGTCAGGTTCCTCAGCCTGTTCTGCAATTAAAGTTTCTATGATGCATCTATTTAATAATTTACTGAAAGAAAATGTGAATTGCTTCATCCATCCCGCCATCCATCCCTCTGCTGCACATGCTCCAATATATCTCTCAAGCGAGCGGGGACAAACTAATCTGATGGAATGACTGAGCTGTGATTTCTGGCTCCACACAGGAACATGTCTCACATGAGCAGCGATGCGGTTTTATAGCTCCCCTGGCACAGAGCGGAACATTTAAAAGGCACGGCTCAAATGAGCTTAGCACACTTTATTACCCATCTGCAAACAGCTTAAGTGTCAAGCAGCACATCCTTGAGTTGGTAATGTTCACATGCATACAGAACTGTGAGGCAATTAGCCCTGTGAAGCACACATGGGTGGTATGAAGCCAAACAATGCAAAGCTTTTATCCAAACTGCAAGCTAAAACAATGCTGTGCTGTCCTGTGCAGAAACCAGAGCATAATGAGGCTTAATGCTTGTGCATACATTACATGAATTGTGATAATAAGACTGGAATTACAGTGGTAGGGAGGTGGGCTTTAACCAAACAGCTGAGCTCTCTCTTATGCTGCAATAATGTTCTCCTTTGCATGTAGAGTCTAAAGTAAGTCTATGCTTGCAATATTGCCATTATCTCCACACTGTATTTATTAGACAGTTATGTAGAAGAACAAAATAGTAATTTTAAAGTATTTGAGGCATAAGATGAAGAGTCTACATGGTAGGTTGTTTTCGTACGTTTACTCTATGGAGCACATTTAAAACAACCACCATTGTTCAAAGTGTTGCACAATATTTAAGCATAAAACAAGCAATATGCAAGACATAGAAAAGCAAATAAATGAATAGCAATGAAGTGAACAAAGCCTGACAGATCAGGTGTGTTGTTAGTCTTAACTGAATAATGGCTACAGAGGAAGGGGACTTTATTTAAGAAGGTAAGCAGCTTTGGGGCGGCTACAGCAAAAACCCAGTCTCTCTTTCCTTTTAGCTTTGACTAAGGAAAAACTAGTAACAGCTGGTTGGATGATCTTAGATCTGGGAAGAGACTGGGGGTGGAGAAGTTCAGAGATGTGCTCTAAAAAAAAATCTCCTTCAACTCAATTCTGAACTTGAACAAGAGCCTGTGCAGTGTCAAAAGAGCAGGAGAGATTCTCTCTCTCTCCTCTTTCTGGTTCCTCTTAACAGACCAGCTGCAGGGTTCTGCCTTGTACTGATTTATAAGAGGCTTGGTTTGTGTAAAGTACATAGATAAAACCAAAATATCCCTTTAAAAACCTGGCATAAGCAATATTTGTAGGTGACATCTCAGTGCTGTAAGGGTGTTGAGAGTCATTCATTTATATTCCACTTTTAGCCGTAAAACGCAGGCAGATGATCCACTGTTTACTGTCAGTTGTAAACAGCAGAAGCTGATGAAAGCTGCTGCTCCTTCTTTTTTGCCATCTTTCCTCATTTTTAACCAGCTTATAGAATCACTACCACCCCATACTGTGACTCAAGTACTAATGAGACACTGTTGTATGGCTATTTTTGGTATGACATCAACATTTTGTTTTTTTACAAAAAAATTGTCATTTTTAACACAGCTGTTTATTGTGCCAAAGCTATATTTGATGTATTGACAAGATATATATTTCAATCTTACTGAAGGTATGCTAGTGCATCATCTCAAACTGAGGCTACAGAGTCAACACTGCTTTAAAACTTTGAACAGTTACAGGTGTTAAGATATTAACATATTAACAGGCACACTAAAGGCTGTCGCTCTCCAAAACTGCCCTCTTATTTTACCAGGGCCACAAATTATTCATCAGACCAATCCCTATTGGCCTATTATATCCTACTGTGGCAGGATGATATGTCTCATCCTTGCTTTTAGAAGAGTTGTATTTGCCTGCTATCTTGGGTACCCTGTAGCCAATTAACTCACGGGGGCACTCTATAAAACGGAGTGATGGCAGCCTGCCCTTACTTTTGTTCAGGCCTTTCCCTCCACTCCTGGGTTGCCCTGCCCATCTCCTCACGCTAACACCGACGCAGGTCGGTTAGCAGTGGCTGCTAAAAATGCTAAGCGATCAATTAGCATGTGGATTCGGCTTGTTTTTAGACGTTGTGTTAATGGTTGCCAGCTCTCATGACCGGCGCGGTGCCTATGTTGTCATCGTGGGCATTCAACACTTGCTGGGTTTGCTTCTCTTCCTCTTGGAGGTCTCTCACATGGGCCTAATCAGGGCCGTGTGGGCTGGATGTCTCCCTGGGGTACTTCCAGCGGTGCTAAATTAATGTAAGGAAAATGCTGCTTTGCTTTAATGCTGCTTTGCCTTCGCCTTTGCCTGTGCTGCTTTGCTTCACAGCCTGTTTGCTGCTTAGCAGCTACCTTGCCGCGGCTATCCCACCTCTGGCTATGTTTTTCCTGCCTCTGTCTCACTGCGGCTGTTTAACCCCGGGTACTCTGCTTTGCTAACACTGCTGCCTTGCTGTTTTCCCTGCTGTCCCTGCTCAGGCAGCGTTTGAGCGTGTCGCTGCACAGAAGGACATAAACACGGAACAAACTATAACGACCCGCACGGTAGGCGGGACCGAAATCTTTTAATGAGTTGAAGTTGATGCTGATTTTTCAACAGCTGGTCTTTAATCAATCGGTTTTACAGAGTGGCTGTGTTATTTGTGGGACCAACTTTGTCAGTAGTTTTGTTTCTCTTTTTTGTTTTCCTCATCCTTGGGTTTTTGTGGTCTCTTTTCCTTTTATTTGAGTTTGTATGTCTTTGGACTGAGTTCATGAGGAACATCTTTTGAGTTTGTTTGTTTCTGTGGATTTCCTTTGAATCTTTATTTCTTTTGTATTTAGTCAATTACTTGTTTTTGCTTAATCCATATTTCTTCAGTTAGTTCAGAATATCTTGTTTTCTATTTTAACAATGGGTTCTGGGATATTCAAATTTTTGTTCAGATTTGATTGTTTTGACAGCATATGTCCAATTGGTTAAATTTATTTTGTTGTTGTCATTTATATTGATCACATATAGTTTGATATTATTTTTGGGTTTGTTTGTTTGTTTCTTTGTTTTTTTTTGAGTGTGAGCTCACTTATCCCTTTTTTTGTGTCCTTTTTCAGTCGCTGAGAGCCAACGGTGGTGGTCCTTCGTGTCCTGGTTGTGGTTTCCCGTTATAGTGTGCTGTGTGTCCCTGGTCTTTAGTTGTTGCACTGTGTGAATTTTGGTGTGATTGTCACATTATTTGGTGCCCTTCTTACCTGGGATTCCCTTCACCTTTCTTTTGACTCATTGCACCGTGGTAAGGCTCAACTCTTGAAAAAGGTTTCCCCCTCCCTGTGTTGGTGTGATATTTCATTGAGGATTTATAAAAACGTTGCTTAAAGGATTTCTTTCATTTTAAGAT